ACAGCGACTGCACACTATGCAGCACAGGGGCGGAGCGACTAAGAGGGCCCTGTCAACATTTAAATCCGGCAATTTCCTCCTTTAAGACAGTAAAATCTAACGAAATCTCATTAGATCGAAACTTCTAGAACATTTCAAAAGATTCAAGTAACTGTTGATAGGTCAACCCCCTTTCCCGCTCAGCACCATCACTTCTAACGATATAAAAGCGCACACCAAAGACAGAGTCTGACTTTCTTCTTCAGTCTGTCAGTCAGTCTATCTTCTGTCTGTCATCTGTCTTCAGTCTGTCAGTCTGTCTTATGTCTGTCATCTGTCAGTCTTCAGTCTTCTGTCTTCGACTTTCTTCCGTGGATCAGAGTGTCAGAATTAGAGAGAGAGTCAGTGTCAGAGTGTCAGAGTGAGAGCTAGCCTACTAGTCTCCTTCAGAGAGTTCTTCTTAGAAGCGGGGTGCTCATTCGCAAAAATCCCGAGGGCCATCCTCCATAGCAGGCACGTTCAAGGATAGCCGAGCAACACCGCGACGCAAAGTAAGTTGCACGTGGCACTTCCGTCTCAGTCGCATTACCCTCCGTTTGTGTAAATATTAATTTTCGGAAACGATCGCGTGCGAACTATTCGAATACATGAATCTCGTCAATTTTACTCAATATTTTATATTTTTCATTACTAGTTACCTCAACGTCTCCATGTACGCGATATCAATTTCACGAATCAAACCATCTCTTGAAATCAAAATAGAATAAAACGTCTAAAATTCATTTTCTTTTTTTTTATCTTCTTCTTTCACTCTCCTTCCTCTCGGGCATAATTAAAGCGATTCGGAGCGCCTGTAACGTCTGTGTCGTCCGAATATTGGTGTAACCGCGTAAATCTGGAACAGGAAGCCTCGCGCGTCGTGGCGAATGAGAACCGCGCCAGGCTCCCTATCCTCCGGGGCGACAGTGACCTTACAACCGAGCCTAGGAAGCCCTTCTCAGGGCCGCCGAGGCATCCCCTTAAAATCTCATTCCCTGAACTCCGTTCTAGGAAGCCCCTCTCAAGGCCTCCAGTCGCTCAAAACAGAGCCCTGGTCGCCCTTCCGAGCGGAGAGCAAGAGCCCTCTTCAGGGCCCCCTGCCGCTCACCCTATCTCTAACCGCCTGTCGCTAACAATAGTGTAAGTCCTGTCGTAAAGTGCATACGATTCTGTTCCGCTCCTCCCCGGATATAATGAAAAGTATAAATAAACTAACGTCTTGAACTCTGCGAATTAGCGTTTCCATGTAATCATTTTGTGACCGTCGACCTCCCTCCTTTTACTCTGGTAACCGTGATTACCGCCCTTGCCGCTCGGGGCAAGAATCACGCCGAGCCGTCGTTAGACGGGCCCACGCTGCGTCCGAGGGGTATTCGCACTCGCGCCCCGGACACCCTTATTATATATTATATTTTAATTAATGAAAGAGAGAAATCATTTTTGTAATTTTTACTTTATTGTGAGTAATTTATTATTACGTAATTTTGATCTCTAGAATTTTAATTATTAACATTATGGCAAATTACATATCATCATTACTTTATGTCATTTTATTTACAGTGATACTTACAAATCTTTTAATTACTTTTATATCTTACTACTTTCCATTTATCTTTTTGTATCTTACATGCAAATTACGTAAAGTTACAACATAGAAATATTTTAACTCCCTAACGGTTTTTTTATTTTGATATTACTTTAAAAAAAATAATTCTAGAATAATATCTTAAAATAATTGTTATTTATATAGAAATACACAAGAATTTCTGAGATTCAAGATATATCGTAGTGAAAAGATACTCCTGGCAAACGCACCATCACTGCTCAATTTTTCCTCTTAACAAATTATAATTTAATTCAGTATTCTCGTGCCGTATGATCTTCGAGATTTATCGGAGCCGAATGACGATGCATTAGTGCGATAGGAAAGTACGGAAACGAGATTAGAGTAACAAAACGAGGATGGAAAATCGAGAGGAAGCGCTGACTAACGCTTCGTCTTTAAGAAGTCCTTCTTCTCTCTTCTGTCTACTCCCTTTCTCATTTCCTTCTCCAACAAGACTTCTCAAAATGTGATAACGAATCAATTGAGATCTGAATCGAGCCCGAATTCAGATAAGTACACTGAGAAAAAAGTTTTGTTGATATATGACCAACAAAAAGTTTTTCGTCGTCCTAACCAAAATTTGGTTATTCTAACCAAATTTTTGGTTAGGACAACAAAGTTTTTGTTAGAATATGCGACTAACAAAAACTTTTACGTTATTCTAACAAAAAATTTTGTTAGCATAACTAAATTTTGGTTAGGACAACGAAAAACTTTTTGTTGGTCATATATCAACAAAAAGTTTTTCGTTGTCCTAACCAAAATTTAGTTATGCTAACAAAATTTTTTGTTAGAATAACGTAAAAGTTTTTGTGAGTGTAGTACTCACTTTTTTCTGAGTGTAGTACACCAACTTTTTTCTGAGTGTAGTACACTGAGTGTAGTAGATAACGAGGATTCGAGAATTGGCCTGTCAATCAATCTACTCGTTAAGTTTCTCCACGCTTAATGACTACAGTTAAGAAAGGATGAACGAAACGATAATTCAAAAATAAGCTTACTCTAGGAAAAACAATATTGAAATTGAAACATTATTTTGTGCTATCAATTTTTCAATCAATTTTCAATTAATAAACAAATCTGTTTGAAACTTTGTTTAACTCTTAGTATACACCTTTTTGGCACCCTTATTACACACGTTCGATCATTCGTGTCCTGGATTAATTTTTATCACTTTGCAAGTATACAAATTTTTACAAATTTTTTGTATTAATTATTAAATGATTTTTACATATATTAGGTGTTAAACTTAATTCCTGCCGTTTTTTCGTCTCCAAAATTGATTTGTTTCGAAGGGAAGATGAATGAATACCTTAATCAAAGTAATTTCCTCCATTTTCTACTACTTTTTCTCATCTCTCTGGCAACACGGCAATCCCACGACGGTAGAACACGGTGTCTTTCGAGGCGATCCATTCATCCACCCATTTTTGGACTTCGCTGTGATTGGAGAAGTGTGTCCGTAAGTACGTGTTGCATCGATCGGAAGAGATGGTAATCCGACGGTGCC